TCTCGTTGTATAAATTCTGCTAGCGTGTTTTGGGGGCCAAAATTCAAGCCAAAATTCTATCGAAACGGTGATCTGAAGAGAAGGCAAAAGAGCATCAGAGTTGAAACACATATTTCGTCACGGGAGAGTTTTCATCTTTCTCACCACTTCTGGGAAGCTGTTGAAATTCATGCAAATTTTACGAGCCGACTAAATGCACCCGCCAGATTAGCGCTACGCTCGAATAAACGTCAGCTTATATACGCTGGACTGAACATTCCTCACCACCCCAAAGATTATCGTCGAAAACTCACTCCGCCCTGCCACTTTGGGATCGCAAACTTTCCACCGCCATCCCCTCCCTTTTCTTCCTAGGATCTCGCTGCGAGATGGAAACGCGACTCGACTTTCTCGTAGTCGACGATTATCCATCGATGCGTCTGACCATCCATACAACTTTCCACTCGAGAAAAGTCGACAACGATAACCGATAATCGTTTCCAAGGTTATTGGGTTCGCGATAATAACGTTTTATAAGTTCCACGCGAAGGCTGTTTGAAGCATTATTCCGTGACAATGTTTCGTGTTTTATATATATAAGAAGTTGTATATTTTTTATGCCCCATAAAAGAAACGAGTCTTATCTCGGATAATGGTTGAAAAGGAGGAGTAAGTATATGAAGTGTGAAAGATAAGAATGGTATTTTTGATAAGTTCTTTTTTAAAATTGTGTAATTTTTTAATAGATTCAATTGATGAAAGTGGTTAAGTTATTGAAACAATTATTAATTCGTCAAGTTTCGAATTTTCACGTTTCGGATCGATTTCGAGTTATTATTCAAATTTAAAAAACTCCGAGAACTCTGTATCTTTTCTAATCTCAATCTTGAAATATCGGGAACACTGTTAACACTCCAATTCCATTTTATCCCGATTGTTTCCTTTATCGCGCCGATTATCTAAGCTATAAAAAACGAATCCAATTTTCGTCGAGCTCGTTTAGCAGAAGTTTCCAATAAAACCGATTCCCATACAACTTGTACACATCGCGTTAGTTTTAACTCGAACAACCCTGCAGTTTCGCCATCTCGAGAGGAACCTCTGCCTTCCCTCTCTCTCTCTCTCTCTCCTTCTCCACT